TTTGAACTATACTTCTACCCTTGGGTAAAATCAAGATTTGTCTTAAATCAAATCTGTGTAAGTAGGCCTATAAGTTTATGCCATGAAAGTTATGTCATGTTTGTAGAATGTGTGTAGTCTATATCGATATACCAAAATTTCGAGGGTTATAAAAAAGTAAACCGGTGTAGCAGGTCTCTAGAAAACACTGGGGAAAATCCCCTACCATATTTTGAGCTGGTTTTATTGTTAGTGCAACTTCAGAGTATACTTTTTACAAATTACATTAACATTTTCAAAATCTGTTTAAAACTCAATGAGGGGTTCTGTTCACAAATTAACCCCTTCCAAATTAATTAAGTACATAGGCTAGATAACACTGATAATTATGAATTATGTTAATGTGCGAATTATGGTAAAAAGATGAAACTGACTTTAGTAAATAACTAACTAAACTTTTCCTTGACTATGTTAAACAAACGTATTTGGCTCAGGTATTCTTGGGAGGGATACCTGAAGTGGGGAAATCTAAGCTATTTTACAAAAAATACTTCCCGCTATAAATACAGTTGTACTCTACGAATTAATAGTCTGCAAATTACAGACGAATTCCATAAATCAATACTCTGAGAGTAGTGGATACTATACTTAGGATTATGTTCTTTTGCAAACTTTTAAGTTATACGTATTAATATTCTGCGAACTACAGGTAGATTTAAATGTGTAACTTTCAAAACAATGGGCGACCGTTCATGGAATAACTGTACTACTTCAATGTCAATTTAGTTATTTAATATCAGCTGTGTGAAATAATGAAATAAAGTGAATGTGACACTGTTGCTTGTTTCTCTGTCAACGCAAACGTAAACAGTGTGAGATTTTTCCTGTTTATTGCCGAAGAAACTAACCAATATTTACTTTCTAAATTCTTTTTACGGGAAAGAGTCCTTCACCAATATCAAATCAGGAATATTCTCAATGCATTTATTTTACCATAAAATCCAGACAATTATTTAAATGTATAAAAATTAGCATTTATTGCTCAATGTTTACAATTTAAGAATTAGGAAATGTGAAAATATGTTTGTCAAGTGTGCACTGACTGTATTATGATGTTGAGTGGTTGAAGCATGCTCATAGTAATACGAGTTGATTTCTTACCTAATTGTCACTATTACTATAAACATTTTATTTCATTTCCACGTTTTTCAAATACATTTTATACGTTGACGGAAAAAAACTATTATGTAATTTATACATCATTTGATGTATAAAATTAAGGGGAAATGTTTAGAGAAAGCACAATATCAAAGTGTTAATTTGTATTTATCTTAATATCCACAACATTTGCGTAATAATACCAAATCCTTCCCATTCTTGCGAGTTCAGTCGAGCGGTGGTAATATGGGACAGTCTCTACCCTTGTGAACAATAGCTGGCTCGAGTCACGAGCCCAAGCCCTACAGCAGGTATACCGGGGGAGATCATGGCAGGGGGGGACCTTTCCGGGGTGTGCATATTGAAAACGATCGGGGTTAACGTATCCGGTTAGCATCAATTCTAATTAGAAAATCTGGTAATTGTATATGATAAGTGAATATCATATACGCATTAGTGAATTATCTAATTAATACGCAAACTCAAAAATAACTCGTCATATCGACGAGTGCATGCTGCAACTGAAATTAAGTGTCCGCGGCCGGAAACATCACCCCCCGGTCTCTGACGTCAATATGACGTAGGGGGGTGATGTTTCCGGGGGCGACCTTTCCGCGTCCCCCTGTTTGTTAGTTTTATTGTTTTTATATTTTATCAGTGATACTATAAAAGAGGCATAAAGTGCCATAAAGTGGCACCAGGCTGATGTGTTCAGGCTCAACGAGGGATATCGGGAGAAGTCCTTGCTGTGGAATCCAATGGATGAAAATTATGAAAAAAGAAATAAAATGCATGATGCATGGGTGAAACTTGACGAAACCTTTGGACAAGTAATTAATTTATGCAAGCAGAACGTGGTCATCTGTAGTCGCCATGAGTTAACTTGGATTCCTCCATCTTAGCTTAGGCCGTCCTGGTGGTCTTCTGTCTTCGGGGTTTCTACGAGTATCTGTGTTCCTCACTGCAGAGTTTTACTCTCTTCTTATAGTATGCCAAAACCATCTGAACCGTCTACTTTTGACTTCTGCTACAATGTCTTGGTCTTTGTAGCGCTCCCTAATCTCGGTGTTATGTCTTCTCCTCCATGCTCCATCCTCAAAAAATCGGGCCAAATATCTTTCTAAGGACTTTGTTTTCAAATGTTATTATTTTCTCTTCTGTCTTTTTGCTCATTACCCACGTTTCTTAACAATACAGTAACTGGTCTTAATATTTTTTTGTAAATACATAATTTGGTGTTGTCTGTTGGTGGATAGTAATTTTGAGCTTAACAATTTGTTACATGCATAAAGGGCTCTGTTAGCTGAATTTAACCTGATTATTATTTCTAATTCTTCATTATTACTGTAAAAATATCAATTATTGTGTATTGAGTAATTTTATCGGTAGCTAATTTGATTAAAATTATAATATAATTTAGTAAGTACCACTTCAATATGAGATTTATAATGAATATACTGCATGTGCTTTTGGGATAATTGGATTGCATCAATATTAAAATTTTAATATGAGTGAATATGTGCTTAAAGTGTGATTTAATGCATCAAATGGTGATGCAAACATTCAAAGTGTAATCAATCTGAATATTGGTTGTGGTATTAATTAAAACTAATAGGATAGTTTAATTTGATAATAAATTAATTCATTTTTGTATTTTTTTGTTCGGCATGATAAACAAGTTATCTAATATTAACCGATTTTTAAACCTATTTTACATATAAGTGTCAGAGTTTTCAACATCTACATTAATTTACAGGTAAAGTTTATACGACAAAAACATACTTTACCTCATCTAAACTTATAATGAACTGAGACCACCTTGGAAGCAAGATGACAAAAAAGCCACAAGATTAAATCCCAAACTCCCAGGCACGATTACTATTCGACTTGTACTGAAGTTGGAATATTAATTTAAACTTCTTGTAATGATCTGGTGAAGAAACCCATCAATTAAGTAAGGATTACTTACTAAAACTTCCATCCATCCAGAAAGACATAATCGACAAATGTTGAAAGCTAGGAAAATATCTGTTGTAGCCAGACATTTACGTGAGATACAATTTTTTATGTCATTAAAATCTCATTACGCATTGTTGAAGAAACCAATTATTACTTTAAAGGAAATCAGTTTAATACTTCTAAACTTTTTCAATCATGATGAGAAGTCAACAATTACGATTTTCTGCCATCTGTAAATGACACACAATCAAGTTCTAAGCCACAGAAACTGTCTGACAAGCTCAAGTTTAACAATCAGAAACCGTATAACTGAGGGATTGGTTGTATGGGTTTGAAGTTAAACTTCAGTTGGCGCAAAGTTAGGTTTACCGACTGTTTAACTGAGTCAAGCTGATCTAATGAGCCTTTTGTCTATGTTTGACTAGTGGACTAAGCTCAACAATACACGTCGCTGAGTTCCATCAAAGTTCAAACATCCCTTTGGGAGTTGTATTTTTATACAGCTGAACACAATTTTAAGGTACGTTTAAACTAAAACAGACATAAATCACTTACAAACTGGTATAAATATGTAGGACCTGCAGTATCCAAAGTCGATGGTTCCAATCAAATAGCTTAAAGAAAAATAGCAATGGGCTGTTATACAAAGAGGTTTTTAATTGTATGGGTCATTTCCCTCCAAAAATGTATACTTTTGGATGATTTTAAGTTTTGGTTTAAGATTGTTTAGACTATGTGATCATTAGGGTATTTTTTTTATGTATTGTATTTAGCAGTTTACCACAATGCTACCTAAAGTAAAAAGAACATAATTTAGGATAGTAAATGTTAAACCCTAATGTGCTTCAACTAATCAAAAATTGGAAAACACAATTTTGGTCAACAGGACATACTGTATGTAACTTATACTAAATACAACAAACTTCCCCCCAAAAAATGTTTTAGAATAACTACTGTAAATAAATAAATATAAATGAAAACTAATCTATTGTACAGTTTTAGTAACAAAATAAAATATGGATGAAGCTAATTGCTGATAGATCCGTGCCCATTGTCTCGATAGCTATAGGTCGATGTGCCCCACCCGTGGCCAAGCCCAGTACTACGAAAAACAGCGCATCACAAAATAATTCTGCCTGAGTAGCAACTACTAGAGACAACCTGGTAGGTGACTAGCTCAGCTAGCTTATAATTCCTTTTACTTACAATGTATTGTATTATTGTTTTTATTTTTATGGAATAAATAATTTTGACTTGACTTGACTTGACTTATGATTGGGCCACTAGAGCCTAAAAAGCACGATGGCTGTACAATGCGTAAGCACAAGGTGTTTGGTTATCTAGTGTTTTTGTTTTTATACACCTAATTTTTATTACAGTTGAATGCATTTTTAGTATTTTTTTTTATATTTACAACGGTTTTATGTCGTAATAAATAAATGAACATTATTGGATATATTATATATGGTTATTATTATAGTTTAAGCCAATAAACTTGGTGTTATTTAATAATATTGAAACCTGAAATTGGTCCACTTGACTTACCTTTGTGGATATATTATGGTTAATGTAATCATGTGCTTTCTTAAAACTTCAATACAGCACTCACAGAAACCTCGAAATTCTGTTTTGTGGCATATAATCATCAAAGTAACAGTGTGGTACTTGTGGTTAAAAAAAAACTTTAAAATTAGGAAAAGATCTGTTGGAGGGAACGAGTTTCAAACTTATCAAACTAGTATTCCTCCGACGTACATGTACCACTGGAACAGTAAAAGTATCAAAGAGCTATTTTAGTTTCCCACAAATAACATTTTGTAACATAGTGTGTGGTATTCTTTCCCAACCAACTCCAAAGATCATTTAAATGACACTTGAGGATAAAACATACAAATTCAGCAAAATATACATTCAAATGTTTTATTACAATATAAGCTTTATAAAATTAGTACATAATATTTTATACTAAACAATATGATACAGATTAATTATTCTTATAAAAATTACATTTTAAATAAATAGACTAGAAAACTTCTCCTAAACTCAAAGGATTTGTGCTTATATCCAAGCAATCTCAGATAAGAGCCAATAACCTAGATGACACAATTAATTAGCACAATAGTTAAGGAAAAAGTAATAAAAAGCACTAGGCCCAGGCCGTAAAGTGACTCTTTTCAATCCAAGCTTAAGTTTTCATTATCAAAATAACAAGATAATAAGCGAGGGTTGAAAAGAGACTTTTTGCGGAGTGTGATGAAATAGTAGTTAACGCAACGATTGCTTACAAATAGTGTTAACGAGACAAGTAAAAAAATTTAAGGTACGAGCCTTGGCATGTGCCTTAAAAACTTATAGGAGTGTCGTTAGCACTGTTTTTTGCGAGTTGCGTACACTACTTTACCTACTACAGAGTTTTAATTATTAAAAATCACTACTCATAACTTCTAAGAGAGGTTATGTTTTCATTTATTTATAACCTCTCATTGCCACTGACAGAGATGCAAGAAAAGGAAAGAATGCTGTATGTGAAAATTTACAATTCTACAAACTGAACTCAAACGCCTAGGTCTATTTTTTTCCCAAATTTTCACACTTTTCATGGATAAAACTCCAAAATATTTTATCATTTAGGTGATTGGCTCTTAAACTAAGAAGAAATTGAGAATATTTTCATAAGGCTTATTTCAAGGCATATTCAAGCTATGTACAAATTACACATTAGTGTGTATCCAATGAATAACTCACAAAGATTTTACTTATAACTACTATAAGGTAACGTGTAATGTTGGTATTAAATTGTATTTTTTAAATTTAAATAGATTTAAACTGTAACATAAAAGTACACATGGAGTAAATATTTAAAAGTTTAAAATCAAATTATACTAAACCAGTTGAGTATAAAACAAAATTAATGCAAGTTACACTTATTAAAAGACATGATAAGTCTTAGCTTAACTATTTTTTTATCTGTGACTGTGACTGTGGTCATGCTAGAAAAAAGTCTCAGTCACAGTAGTCTTGGTTATGATATATTGAGAAATTGTTCAAAGAACAGTAAATACTTTCAACATTGTATAAATTCAATAAAATACAATAACACATTAACATACGTTAAAAACTATGGGTGGGCGAGTACTCAAAAAAACCAACAAGGAAGAAAAGTAGGTATGGTAGCAAAGTTACCATTTGAAAACACGAGTCAGTCTTTCATAAAATATATACATTATAAAGAAAATGTAATATGCACCTTGGATTGTTTGATAGTTTAAAAAGGTTGGCATAGGGATGCTCAACATTTTTAGCAGCATAATTTTTTGATCTTGCATTTTATAGTTAATTACATGGTATATTCAGAAAGTAGATAAATGCCTTTTGTAAGAAAGTGAGAAATTCGATCCCCAGAATACCAAAAACTGCAGAGATTTTGACAGATTTCCCCTTATTTAGTACTTTTTAATCAAGTGCCACTGCCATTAAAATTAAAAAATTATCTAGCCGCAGCAAAATTGCAGACTAGGGGAATTTCTATTTACCTGGTTTGATTTACAATAAAATATACCCTTATAATCTGTGCTACCCCCAGCATAAAGGTTTGCTGCTACAGCAAAGGTAATAATGTGTATTTTTATTGAAATAGAGTTGACTGTGAGGAGTGTGTTGGGAACTGTGAGAGAGAGAGAGAGAAAGACCTAAAGGAAGATGGATGGACGTTTCGTCGCGATTGTGAAGAGAGGTGTGGATAAGAGGAGTCAAATGGTAGATGGACGAGGAGTTATTGAGGAAAGAAAATTGAGAGAGGTTGACAACTCCTCCAATCAGGAACAATAGGAATCAAAGACAATATTTAGGTATGCACGTATGGTAAACAAACAATACCCCTATTTTCTCTATAGACCTTGTATATCCAGTGTAAACTTAATAACTTCATAACTTAAATTTGAAATATCTTGACTTTTCCAACAATCTTCCCAAAAAGGCAACAATTTGGTCAAAACTTACTTAACTTACCCTCAATAAAACATTTATCTCTGATCTCAAGACTGTTTAAAGGCGATGAGACAATCCTAGGTGCATTACACAACAACATATATATCGCAGTAGTAATCGTAAGCACCAATATCATAGAGGCATCTGTATGTGTGAGTGAGGCAACTGCCGAGTTTGCGGAGGGTTCCGTCTCCACCACGGTGTGCCACTGCGGTCCGCTCTGAAACAGTTAAAGGTTAGGTTGTTACATCTATACTGCAGGGTGAACAACTTAACTGTGCCACCATTAGTATCTCAGAAACTATTATATTTGGAGAGAACATTAAATAGGGAACTTCAACTAGTTCTTAATAAAATTAAAAAAATATGAATTCCAATGTTTCAAAAATGGTTGACATTTTCCAATATGGCAGCTAACTTTTAAGTTTCTTATGGGACACACCCCGTATTTTATTAATCAATAGATTCAATAGATTCTAGATACAATTTTAAGACTTTATTATTCTTGGCATTTTCTCTCTAAGCCTACTCGTTTAGGAGCTACAGCGTGTTGAACTTTGAAAAAAAGATAATGACATAATGACTATGACCACACGGCAAGCTAATTTTTTTAAAGTTTAACACGCTGTAGCTCCCAAACAAGTTGTACCAAAAGAAAGGTTATCGGTCCTATATGTGCAAGGTTTTATTTGTATTTTGAAAATATTTATGTTAATTGGGTCAAAAATGGAAATTTAACTTTTCTTATGGAGATTTAACATGGGGCTAATTCTATATACAGGGTTAGTAAAAAGTGTGGTGACTCCCTGTTATTTTTTTAACGGCCCATACTAGAAAAACTAAACCTGGCACACCACTATGGCATGTTAAGAAGTACTTTTTGGGCATAACCGCCACTTGGTGTTAATCCCCAAAAAGGGGGATTTTGGGGAAAACTCAAAAATTTCCAATACAAAGACCCATCGAGTGACCCCTCATGTTGAAGGTCCTAGTAAAAGAAAACCATCAACGCAAATTAGAGGTCTCTATCTCAGTTCAGTAAAAAATGGCAGCCAATTGAAATTGTCATAAGTTCTCAAACCCAAAATGGGGGATTTTGGGGGAAACTCAAAAATTTTAAATGATAAGCCCCATTGAATGACCCCTCATTTTGAAGGTCACAATAAAAGAAAACTAACAACGCAAACTATAGATCTCTATCTTAACACAGTAAAATATGGCAGCCAATTGAATATAAAATTGCAAGTTATTTCCGATTTCTAAAGATTTCAATCAGCTTCCATTTTTTACTGGATTGAGATAGAAACCTGTAGTTTGCGTTGTTAGTTTTCTTTTATCAGGACCTTCAAAATGAAGGGTCACTCAATGGGGCTTATCATTTAAAAATTTTGAGTTTCCCCCAAAATCTCCCATTTTCGGTTTGGTAAGCAAGTGGCTATTAGGCTTAAAAAGTACTTCATAACATGTCAAAAAGGTGTGTAGAGTTTAGTTTTCCTAGTGTGAGCAGCTACAAAATTTACAGGGGGTCTCCAGACTTGGAAAGCCGTAAGTTAAATTTAACTTCTGAGAATTTCAATTGGCTGTCACTTTTTACTGGATTGAGATAAAGACCTCTAGTTTGCGTTGTTGGTTTTCTTTTACCAGGACCTTCAAAATGAGGGGTCAATCGATGGGTCTTTGTGTTTGAAATTTTTGAGTTTCCCCCCAAATCCCCCATTTTGGGGATGTACACCAAGTGACGGTTATGCCCAAAAAGTACTTCATAACATGTCATAAAGGTGTGCTGAGTTTAGTTTTTCTAGTATGGGCCGTTAAAAAAATAACAGGGGGTCTCCACACTTTTTACTAACCCTGTATAAATAGACATGTATGTTTATTGAAAACCTTTTTTCTCAGCTCCTGTGCATCACAGGGAAAATATATGCATATTGTTAAAAATATATTTGCCTGTAGATTTGCAGAATTCCTTAATAAATTAAAATAGGCTCAAAAATAAGCACAAAAAATTAATTTACATTTTTAAAAAATTAACATGGGCCTTATGGGTTGCCATGTTAGTGACGAAATAACAACAAAATATAAAAATAAAATCAAAACAAATGGAAGAAATTCCAATCACTTGTTTTATTTACAGTGTGGGGTGAAAATAGAGAAGTTTGTACAATATTGCACAACTTTTGGTTGAGGTTTTGACCAAAAAACCCTACTACTAGATAGAAATAGAATTAATATTTTTTTTAAATCTTATATACTTTCTATAGCAACCCAATTTTGGCCCGTGATTCAAGGGCCAACATATTTCACTTGACTTGTCCCAAAGTAAAAAAAATCTGGCTTGCAAATCCCTGAACCAAACATCATTTTTATAAATTTCTTAAACATTTCACCAACCTTGCAGCCGGTCCTACGACCTGAGGAACATATCTTTGGTCATGCTGCTCCACTAGTCTCCGCAATAATGGCTCGTACTGGCCAGGCATGGCTAGCACAGGCGGGGCTAGCGGAGCTGCTGTGGGAGCAGATGGGGGCAGCTCCTGCAGAGGTATAGCACCTGCCATGCCTCCGCCGCGACGTGCTCGCTTGCGACGCTTCACATTGCGTCTGACACAACACTGCACTGACAGAAGTAGTGTACACACCTGTAGAGACAAGTGATTTGAGAAGTTTGTAAAGATTTGGATTAATCATAAACAAACACAATTATGAACACTGCTGGATTTAGGTGGTCGCAGGAATAATGCTCATCATCTAAGAACTGACTATTGAAAAAATAAAAGCAATATATGATTTATTTTGAAAATTCTTTTACAAATTCAAATTACATTACTAATTAATACTCAGTACAAAAATGTTTACAACAATTAGTTTTGTAGGTAATATACAAACGTTCTATAAAAGCTTTTTAAATTTCACAAAGCAAAATCATTCACAAAGGAAAAATTACTCCTGTGTGTGGAAGAGAGTCATATATATATTTAATTTAGGGATGAAAAAAGGATTTTAAAATGGCTTTAAAGATAGAAAGTTACACTGGAGGACTTAAGGATAGGAAAAGCAGAGTGGGCATGCCGTTCCACACATTCCTGCTCCACTATTACATGTATCAATACATCAAGAGATTGAATGTGTATACATTACCATAGCAGTAAGGCAGCCTATATACACCAGCACCATGAGGTCTCCTCCTCTCTTCTGTCCTTTGAGCACACTACCTGCGATGGTCAGGGATATTCCTGTCAGGATACCAGCTATGAACAGCACCTGCGACAAAAACACAACTGAGCCACTGGATACCTTGACATCTCGGCGTACATCAAAGCGCATACAGTAGTTACAACTGGGATCTACTTTGATTACCTTGGCTGACTATGCTTCGCTCTGATTTAAACACCTCAGAAACCAACTGTACCGCATTCGGTGAATTTTGCAAATGAAGCTTCACCCGCTGAGACTTTTGCTGTGACTTTTTTTAAAACAAGGTTATCGCTCGGATTTGTTTTCCACATTACTTCAGGCTAGCTCTGGAGAAAGTTGTGGCATTATCACTTAGATAAAATCCATTGGCGATTGGCAGGATTCGAACCTGGGTCCTCGGGGACCAAAGTCCCGCGCTCTAACACTAGACCAGCTCCCCGAGGGAGTTACGTTAGGGTCAGGCAGGTTCACAGAACCTACTGTTCAGCCTTCCTATTGGTATCAACACTCCATCCACAAACATTTTGTTACTAATTTTATCAGTGGAATGTTTGTTAAAACCCTGAAAAACACCCATTTACTACACTCAAAACTTTTTCCACTCTATAAAACTATTAAAGAAAAGTTTGTGCACCTTTTGCCTAATGTCTCATTTGTAAAGTCGTAATTTATATCAAAATTGAAATTGAGGGGTCTTTTTTAAGAGATTTTAGTCCCAAAACATGATCTTTCTTGTAGACTGAAATTAATCCACCCACTCCTACCATGGTGAAGACTTTATATGCACTCTCTCTGATATAGTCTACCAAAGATTTCAGTTAAAATAATTGTGTTTAACATTGACGATGTACTTAACACATTTAATACTTATCCCTGTTTATTTTTACAGACCTAAGAGTTTAAATCGTTAAAAATGTCTTTGTAGATTAATATAAACATTAAAATAACTAATTAGTTCAATTACAGTAACGGTATACAGTAATCACTAAATAAATACTGATAATTAACTTATATTAATAGTGTTCTGGCATTCAACAATGAAAGAAAAGTTTTCCAAATCTAAAGTTTTAGTAAAATTCAAATATCCATATATTAAACCATAAGTACCCATGAACTTTTGAGAAAGCTACAAGTCACACCCCCATAAACCATATACTTAAAATCTAAAACACAGAGGATACGCGTCCGGTAACCAGACGTGGATTAGGCGTCCGGTAACCAGACGTGGATTAGGCGTCCGGTAAGGGGTCCCGGAACGCCATTACCACAATGATACGATGTTCAGCTATCAGTGTTCGTGGTGTAGTGGATAGAGTGCTCGACTGATATGCGAGAGGTCCCCGGTTCGAAACCCATCGATAACACTAACTTTTTGTCACAGATTTTGCTTTGAATGTAATTTCTTCTTAACTGTACATCTTTTGTTAGAATTTTTGGCATTTATAATTTTATGTTATGAAGAGAATTGAACCTTCATTTGATTTTTTTCACTATCAGCAAGTTTGGTTGGTTAGGTTAGGTTATGACAGTAACTGCCGGACGCCTAATCCACGTCCGGTTACCGGACGCGTATCCTCTGCGAATCTAAAATGTTCATCATGACGAGAAACCGTGTGCAAAACTATCCATTATTTCATAAATTGCCCTTTAAGGTCGTAATTCCTTTCTAGGGAACTTTCCATATACCTAATGTTAAAAATACCCCAGCTGTACTTATTTGTTTGTTATTCTTCCAAATTGTACCTTATTAAAATCAGGTATGATTATTTTTTGTATTATTATATTATGTTTTGTTTATTTCAGCTTAACTTAACCCTCCCAGTGTTACTTGACGAAAATTCGACAAGCAGCACACTTTGTGTAGTGTTACTTGTCGACTTTTCGACATGCAGACATCGTTTACGGCGAAGGCTCTATGACTGACTGAATCGGATTGAACTGGATCGAGTTAGGTATCGTTCTTTCCGTAATATTCTAAGCTTTCTCCAGAGGTCTGTCTCTAAGCGCTATTCATTTTAGTTCCGAAAATATTGTAGCAGACAGCTGACGTGCGTGTATTTGTAAACAGCTAGGTTCCCCCGGACCGATGACTGATGTGTTTTATTACGTTTATCATTGTTTTAGTGTTAAAAATCAAAAGTAGTGATATACGTGGTGCATTATAAGAAGATTTAAGTGGTTTTGAAGTGCTGGTTGATGATCCTGAAGAAGTAGGTAGTGATATTGATGTAAATTATCAGCCAGATTCCTAGCTATGGTTAGGCTATGCATTCTTAGCTAAACGCTATGTACTGAAATCAGTTTTTTGCCCATAACTTATTTATTTGCAAATATACTTCCTTATATTATTATATAGTTGTAATCCTCATAAAATTTAGAACAAAGTGGCTATTTTCAAATATTTATAGGCCTATAATTTATACAATTTCATTGAGCGCGAACTTATTTTTTTTTTGAAAATTTTTGAAATTATATTATTTTTACCTAAAATTTTTTTTTTTTTTTAAATGTTCCTTATGTTTTATATATAATGTTGAAGCCCATGATTTTCCAAACAAAATGGTATATAGAACATTAGAATTAACATTGTTTTAAGCTTCTCAGATCCGTTTTAATAAAACCTTGCAAATGCGCCAAAAATAGGTGGACATTAAGGCCTAAACTATGGACACTTGGAGGGTTAACCAATCAATAGTTTTAACTTATGAAGTCAAACGGGATGAAGCCTGTGGGTTACAGCTAGTTTGTTTTCAAATAAAATTCAGCTGTTTAGTTTTAGTCTACTGGCAAGCAGCTGGCATGGGAATGTGAAACAGGTTTTTGTTGGGAAATACGACCATACTTTCCCTTTTCTCATGGCTACAACCCCTGTTGGACTGCGGGAGTATCTTGACTCCCAACACTTGAGAAATGCAGTATAAGCATATTTTTATTCACGGGAGGGGGGACAAAGAGATAAACATAAACAAAAAGATGGAATGTAAAACATCAAAAGACATTTCATTTCTCAATCAGTTTGGTGATCAGTATGCAGCATACAGTGTGTGATTTATTGCAGCTGGCATCACTGACTAAGCGTGACTTAGGACACAATAAATTTAGCTGTTGAACAAACAATCAAACATTCTACATGTGTCACTCTCTTGACTTGAATTTAAATCAACCAAGTTATCTGCCATAAAAGGTCTGAGGTTTGGTTGTGTTGCATTGATTAAAGTATGCCCTGATCTATTACCTCTGAAAAAAAAACTTTAAAAATATTAGCATAATATTTTTTTTTTTAAGTCATATACCATTTAGACAGGAGCATTTTTCAGCAAAAAGTTTTTTTTGCTAAAAAATCTTTTCTTTTCTATTTTAATTTCATAGAGGAGCCCCTATAGGGGAATTTTTCTATTTCATTGTTTCAATTACCATCTATTAGAAGTATATTTTAAGAAAATTTCAAATTTTTATGTTTAGTCCTTTTTGAGATACAGTACTCTGAAAAACTGCTATTTGTAAAAAAAAACATTATTTTAAGACTCATACAACTAAAGGATGGATTTGACAGATCTCAATTTTTTTTAAGTGTAAGCACCTGTTGCATCCTTGTGGGGAAAAAATATTGAAGATATGTTTTCATCCCTTCCATAGGAAATAAATTCATAAAGTCAGCAATTTATTCTAATTGAAACCTAATTTTTCAGTAAAATTTTAGGTAATTTCCTTACAAGGTACAAAAACGTTGGTCATGACATCAATTGTAGATGGTTTAATTTAGAGTTAGATTATTTTTATTTCAAGTTGATATCTTAATATTCTTAATAAATAAAAAAGTTATTGGACTTATCGCTAACCCTTGAAAACACGTGAAATGGACAATCTTCTTACACAAAATGACCACTAGCAGCCAAAGCATTGATGATAACATTTTGGAAAATATTGTCTTGTGCTCTCCAATATATATAGTAACAGAAAATAAGCAAATAAAAATTAAATAAATTGTCACAACAAATTATTTTTTTATTGGTTGATTTCATTTGGATTGACCCGAGCCTTAAGGTGGGTTGTAAACGGTCGTTTACAGTAATCTCACAGCTGAAATCAGTCATTAGTGAGACTTGAACCATATCTTCCCAGCTGTGTGTGATGGCATTACTGTACTTGTATCATGTTATGAGCTTGTAAAATGATGCAAAGATCTGAGGTAGTTATTCTTTAATGCTACCTTCCCTTAAAATACCGGAACCTGAAGAAATTTTAAAAACTATATCAAAAGTATCAGAATTATAGTAGTGATAGTAAACATTAATTATTCAAGAAAATTATAAAAATACAAGCGAGTTCCAACCTGTAGGCAGTAGTGGCAGAAGTTCTCGAAGGCGGTGCAATGGCCCCCGCACGGGTCCACGGCAGGTTCGTGCGTGTGAGCGGTACTGGCGGGCGTGACAGCTCTGCTGCTTCCCCCTACGCGACTGTGTGTATGTGTGTGTGGGCGGGGGCCTTCTATCACATCGTAGTGAGGACTGGGCGTCCGTGCAGGGGCTGAGTACCAGTGACTGTCGGGGGGTTCTGAGTAACAGTCGGCGGGACAGTGGTACGTGCGGTCCGACGATGACTCTGAGGGTGGCCCGCCCCATGGGGTACTAAAATAGTAAAAATGCAATATTAGTAGAGATAAAAGAAAATCCTAACACCATGAGTAAGATTTTAAAACATGTTTAACGGATGCACATTATTTTTGCATATACTTATTAGGATGATGTATTTGATTAACCATGGTTTATCTTATGTGTTGGGTTTATAACCCAAAAAATTATTAGGGCCTAATAATAATAGCCTATACTAGCTGTGTACCTGTTCTACGCACGGGGATCTTATAGTATTCAGTTGAAACCTTCTTATATAAAGAACAGCAGTTGGTTTGCATGTTTTCAGATATATGCTGGCCAAATTATTATACATAACTTCATTTTATGTTGTTTGTTGTTGTTCCGGATCGGTAACAATCAATAAAAGGTACCTGTGTCCGCCGGTCGATCCTAATGTATCTTATTACAGGAGATGCATTTCGGCGAAAATAAATCGCCATCATGAGTCCTAATATAAGGTCTCGAGCTTCCCCATTAGGTGCGTCTTGAAGTTTTAAAACACATACACGAACTGTACACTTATGACGAATAAAACATAAATACACGGTAGGCCTACTTTTATTTTTACTATGGACATGTAGACGCGCGTCGGTCGTGTGCCGAGTCTCGACTGAAAACACTCATTTAAAAAATGTAAGTTTTCCAGCCATATACAACACTGATTCAAGGTCTTTTTCCCGGTTATCAAAACTCAAGAACAATTTTATACACAAAGAATCTCTATTTTCATTTACGGTTACCCTACAAATTATTGCACTTGCGATTAATTAAATCCGTTATATAAGGAAACACGTTTTCAATCTTACTTGGTTTGGATTTGCTTTCAAAACGTGATCGGAAATGGTTGCAGTATTTGTAAACAACATTCAATGTAAACATATCAGTGACAGCTAGAAGAAATAATCTTGATTCGAACAGCTGTTTGTTATTTCATAGATGAATATGTGATAAACATTGGGAGAAAACTTTACAAAAAATCGCACAAAATTGGGTTTTTAAACGTTTGTCATTTTATTTACAAAGTAGTGATGCCATATTTTAATGACTAAAGACAATCTCGCCAATCCAGTGGAATACATTAAAATGATTTGGAACTTGATAGGTAATCTCGTTTTTCAGGAGAAGGCCGCGTAAAATGGCTCTTGGGCCATAACAGACAGGAAGACAGACAGACAGAAATTTAGATGAGACTTGTTTCGCTTTCTTTAATGTATAAAACGTAAAAATAACCTTAAAGTTTATGATTCTGAGCAATGTACAGACAAAACTCTAATTTTATTTATATAGATATATATATAGTAAAATATGAAAATTGATGATTCTGAGCATAAGTATTGCTAAGTAAACTTGTAAATATAGCTGCAAGTTTTTTTCACACAAATATTTTCAGATTTTGCATTACACATTTTTACGAAGGTTTCCAGCTTTTGTGTAACACTGAGCTGTGGCACTGAGAAAGCTATTAGTTTCATGAAGGTATCTAGATTATTTATTGAACATTCAACTTAGATACTGGAGAGAGCTTTCATAATGATTCGTAGATTTTGAACAACACATTTCGGTTAAGGCTGAGTAAACTCTCAGTTTTAGGAAGATTTCTAAAAACCACCGCAGACCGAAGACTCACCGTATGTGATGAGCATGTAGAGGAGGCACTCGAGAGGTCATACTTTACATACATCTCGCCAGTAACACTGCGTCTAGAACAGAAATCGAAAATAAGTAAACAAATATAGCTTCTAAAAGAGCTACTCAATCTACGCTTTTCAGAATAACTATCATCAAGTTCTTTAGGCGTAACATCCCTAATAACAACAAATATTAAATGTTAGTTGACTAGATTAATGAAAGAATAACCAACCTTACGACTGCTAAACAAATACTGTCATGGGGTCTAGTATTAGGCCTAATGAAGCAACCTGGCTTGCCCAGGTGCAAAGAGCTATGTTGGCAAAAAGGGAAATTGTAGCAGAGGTAATTGTTTTTTTCCTTTGAAAAATTAGAACAGTGTGGAGTGCAGAAAGTCAGAACTCTACATGTACATTACAGGGGGGGGGGGATGCAGAACACCTGCAAAAGGTAACAAGTTCATGACAGTTCAGGAAAAGGAGACAAATTTAATAATGCTATTTTCTAGATTTAATGTCCTTCAAAATAATTTTTTACGTTGGTGACGTGGATCTAGTTAGTGAATAAAATTGTTTAACTGGTTGAGAAAATTCTTAATGCTGCAATATTGATTTCTACAAACTGTAAATAGTTGGTTGGTTACATATATGAATGTCCATAATTCAAAAAGCTAAAACTTCCGTCACATTAAAATTGAATTAGCAATTCCAACTTCTGGCAAAATTTCACAGCACAGCACCCTATCGAAAACATCTTTAAGAGCAAATATCCAATTGTTACAATGTTTGTGAATTATCAGATACCCAAGTGAGGGATGATAATATGTCTAGGAATGTTAGAAGGGCTTGTTAACAAACAGGCTGGAGGCAATAGACATGTAGTAGCCTAAAGTTGGACTTATCCTGAACATTCTCAGCTCTTGGGCAACATCAACACCTTCTTAATACAGACAGATAATAGACAGAAACTTACAATTTAGTTTCTAGCAAGAATCAGATAGACAACTTCATCATACATAAACTTGATATAGCTTTCCTTATTCATGATTTTTGAATGACAAAATAAGCATGTACCGTACTCCAAAATAATCTAAGATTGTTAAAGCAGGATAAATAAGTAATATCATTAAAAAATTGTTACAGCACAAATAAAAAATAATTTAAATCAAAATGCTGGGTTAAGGAGCAACCTTAGGCCTACTAATGAATAAATACCCCCGCCGCAGCAAACCTGCTGACTTTCCATTTGCCTGAATTGATTTTCAAATCTATTTAGGGCCTAAATAACATAGGTTTAACGAGTACCTAAGTTTGCTGCTACGGTACAGGGAAACTAAAAAAGTGTGTTTTTAGTAAAATATTGATAGCTTAGTTTTTAATAAATAAATTTGCTAAGTTTGATAAAAAATTGTCCATAAACAAGCAAACTACAACATTTTTTACAATATTCTCCAATAAGAATACCATGGGAATTTTAAAATTACATTTTTTTTTAATTAACTAACTGTAGTAAAAAACGTTGATATACTGAATTATTTGCTTTTTTTAAGCTCTTTTAGATGATCTAGAGAGAAATTGAAATATTTCTGCTTTTGAGGGTCAAAAATGAGAAAACCAAATTTTTTCTCATAAAATCCCCTGTAATATTCTGTTCCCATGGTCCGATCATGCTGGTTCACGAGGTCATCCAAGTTTATCTCGCATTACACCTTCAAACCAAATTTCATTAAAATCGGACAAAAATTAAGCGATCACGGACACATATATATAAAAATTTGAACGAATAGTGTTTTTGGCCTCTGGGGACATCAAAATGAAAAAAATAAGTCTGTCCCGGGCCTAAGTCTTACCGTGCCACCTACGGTAATAGCTACTTCCCTATGGGGTAATTTGCTAAAACTCAACATATTGTTACCGGTACCTACTTACAAAACGAGTATCATACATATGCACAAAAAGTTGCTTAAAAAATAATAAAATGTACCATAATGAAATAAGGTATAAAAATAGGAATTAAGTATTCAAAAATTTTATTTTATTTTGGTAAAAAAATCGGAGAAAAATTTAGCAGAGAAAATCCTCTACTATTTTTTTTTTTATAATAAAGGTGGAATGAAAGCTCAAGTTGCCCAAGCTCAGGCTTTACACACATTGCTGAAACCATTGACTATGACATTCAGTTAACTGGTACATTCACTTATCTTTGCACATTCACTTTGTTAAATGCCATTGTAACTTGATTAAATGGCACACTTATAGATTTTGAATACCACTGCAACGATCATGTAGTCATACATATAAAAACTTTTCAAAATCATTTTACATGGTTGCATGATTTAACCGACTTAAAAGGTCCCAAGATGATTGGTTTATGAGTGGAGAGTAAAACAGGAACACCAAATTGCGAATTCGTGATACCCCCAAAAATCCGATCCCGGCAATCTACTCGGTACGATAGAGAACTACTCGGTTTCGGTTGTTCCATTCGATTGTTCCCTAACAAGACAAGGTCGAAGAAGCAGGCAATGGGCAATACACGTTGGTCGCGGCTCGTTTTGAAGATTTACTACCTTTAGAACAGAACCGGTTTTGAACGCCGCGACCGCTGGCTTGTTATCATGTCACATCTGCTTCCCCCTCGCTCTCTCTCTCTCTCTCACACGCACACACACACCTACTGTGGTCTATCGGATGATTGGGTGTGTGGGGTCCTGCTGTCATGTTTCTGTTTGCTCCCAACTATTAAACCCAATTTGTGGTCCTTCGAAATTGTACGTCGAAATATCATGAATTAAAAGCTATTGTAGCCAACAATCTGTATGTTTAATAGACTGCAAAAGATTGTACCAAGCTAAAGTTTGTACTAAACTGCTAAACTGTGTACCGAACCGCAGAGTTTGTACCAAACTGTTTAGTTTGTATAATTGCAGGATTTAAGAATCAAACTACCCTATCGATCTTCAACATTACAAATTGTGGAAACTGACTCTATAATTTACTACTTGCTAATAGTATTTCACAAAGTACATCAGAGAAATTCTATTTTAATTATTTCACAGGAATTACAAACGCCAGTGTTTCCGATTACAGACAGAATATAATGATATAAATCTAGGCTATATTTTGTCTAAACCCGTCGTAGTACGGCAAAGTAGCAATGAATGTGAATAGCTAGAAAACGTTTCAAGAAACACGACTACTATAGTTCATAAATTGCAGATAAAAAATCGGACCTGGGGTTTTCACCCGAATACGAATGAAAGTTGGGTGTGGAATTCGGTAAGAAGCTTTGTGCAATTTAGTTACAGAAACTGGGATTCCTAACCAGAAATATTATATTGAAATCGCGATGACCATGGACAGATCGAGTTCAAACTATTCAAGCTATAAACAGTTTCTTGCGATTGTTGTGCAATCTTATTTTGTTAAACAACTAGGGTTTAAAAACAGTTTAAGTTAACCTATACATCCTTTGGAGTATCTTTTAAAATTACCAATACGATTTTTATAGTTGCTCAATATTTATAGCATCAAATTAAAATTTAACGATGGCAAATGTTTGAAAAATTAATAAGACATGCATTTGTCACCAAAACAACGAATCTATAACAAGCTATGGATTAACAGCGGAAATAAGTTGAAGGTCAGTACAACCTTTGGTACAACATAACGCCGTTTCCAAAAACTATTTTCGTAAAACGCTTTTAAAGACCGCATATTTTAACATTCTCAGTAAAGCCTCGATGACGTGGTTTCGGCGATGGAGTTTCGCGACGAATTATATTCACTGTAGTTAGGGGTGGACCGTTTGACACTTTACCCGCAAGGGAGGGAGCGGCCTTTGATATTTACCCAGGGACCGGAAACGATTATTACAGGCGGAAATACGACTTCTGCTTCCCAAGTAGGGGTACGATATTAGGGGAGAAACTACACACATATTATTATTCATATTACAGACGGTGTTTATTTATTTCATGGATATAACTAACTTATCAAAAATAGCGTAGGCCTAATTACGTTTGACTACACCTTCGTTTTATGCCTAGAACAAAATGGTCTGATAATGTTTCCAGACCACAATAATGTTATTTTTTACATGGGGAGAAAATTTGCGTGGTTAAGATGGTTTATCTCGTTTTTAGTGTTAATTAATACGTTTTTAACTTTTTGCAATTGGATAGGAAGTGAGCAATTCTCAGATTTATAAAAAAATAAAGAAGATTCTTAAATTGGAAATATCTGCCATGCATGTAACAAATTCAATTTTTCGCAGTTTTCTAAATTTTTTACTTCACAAAAACAGCATAATACTTTGAGCAGGTATTTTGGAGTGAATATGAATGAAAGGAGAATGTAAACTAAAACTAGATGATCTGTTTAGTTTTGTAACAAAACCACACACCCGACTGTTTAGGCTAGAGATGAATGTCACGGGCAGTTTGGTCCAGTTTTGAGAAAAAAATCTGCAGTAATTTCTCAGGGATCGATCCGGCGATTAACCGTTGGACCGTTTGATGGATCGCTAAATTCCCCTTATATACAACTGACGGCATTCTACAAGTGTATTTTTAAACCACAGTATTTCAATTTCAACACACTGTGGGCTGGCTGGCCCCCCCTGTGCGGATTTCCTCCCCTCACCCCCCGCTGTTTTATTTACTACCCTGTCAACAATGAGCAGGCACATCTGGGAACTTGGTCGAGTTTGCGAAAACTGACCGCTAAGTAGGCCTACTATGTTGGTGACAAGAGCTTTGTTTTCAAATAGTAAATTAGGCCTAATAAAGGGTGTTTTTTTTCTTTCAACCCAACCTATTTAAAACAACTACCCTGAGACACTTTTTTAAACGTCAAAAACCAGCTTATATGTTGGTTAACCTGTTTTCCTAACTTCATTGCTAAATCAGCTGATATGCATTGTTGCATAGTTATCTACGAGTTTTAGTGTTATTGGGAATTTGAATTATTTAGGCAAGCTCAAAGCGTAAGCTATTTATTGTAGGCCTATGTTGAAAATTAAATTATTTATAAACTAGAGCTCGCCCCTTGGTCGAAAACTCGACCAAAAG